TCTCATTGTAAGGAGAGACAGGTCATTTACTATCGTGAACATCTGCTTTGAGACAACTAGTGGTGTTCTCACGTCAAGTATAATGTTGTCGATGACAGTCGAGGTGTGTCCGTTGAATCCGGTGATTACCTTCGCTCAGAGTATGATTGTGTTTTCCAGACTCATTTGCTGAATTACTGAGAGTTGAAGTAGGTTAACCGCACTTCCGTTGTCAACCATCATTCTGTCGACTATAGCGTGAGTTAGTTGGACAAATACCACTAATGTGTCGTCATGTGGGAAGTCGACACCTTCGACATCCTGTTCGATGAAGCTAACATGCGTTGTCATGTGAGAAGTCGACGCCTTCAGCATCCTGCTCAGTGAAGCCAACGATGGGTCCAGGTTGGGTAGTGCCCAAGTGCTTGGATTTGGCTAAAATGCCATTGATCCGAATTGTCTTGGTCAGTGACTTTTCGTCGACGTTTGTGTTTCTTCTAGGATATGTGGTTAGCTTGTCTAGGTATCTATCGATTTTGCCTTTTTTCACCAACCTTTTTATGTAGTTCCTCTAAGTGTAGGAGTTATTAGTTGTGTGATCGGGACCTCGATGGAATGCACAATTCTTGGTGTGGTCCAACTTAGAGGTATCTCCATTTGATTCATTAGCAGCTTGAACCATGGTTCACTCTTGATGTCACAGAGGATTTGGTGGATCGGGATCGAGAACTTAGAGTAGTTTTTGGTTATCAGGCCTCGTTTTAGTTGGAGATCGGTCACTGCGCTTGGCCTCTTACCTGTTTTTGTTATTATACTACTTCCTTGTCCTCATTCTTTTGAGTTACTACCGATTAGGCTGCTCAGGTGCCTTGTCTACTCGCTGAGGCTCATCCTAAAGTGCATGCTTTTCTGCTAAAGCAAATGAGTCTGCCATAGTTAGGTCTTCTTTCATGATCAATCCTTCGAAACGAATGATTTACTGAGAGTTCTTTTTAGAAGGCTGCACTAGCTATTGATTTGTTGTATCCAACTATCTTTGCCTTCTCTGCTTTATACCTCTTCACATAGTCGCTATAGCGACTCCTTAGGGTTCTTCTTAACTTGAACAAGTGGTCGAATTTCTTATTGATTGAGCGATATAATGAATACTCCTTAGTGAAAACCTAGAAAGTTCATCGAAACTCCGGATGGATTGTGGCGGCAGGGTGTGGAACCAATCTTGCGCCTCGCTTTGTAGAGTGGTGGCGAATATCTTGCACATGAGAATGTCATTATTCTGATAGAGGATCATTGTGCTTCGGTAATGCATTAGGTACCTTTCCAGATTTCCATCTCCTTTAAAGGATGTGAAATGTGGTATGCTAAACTTGAGTGGAGGCTTCACCTGTTCGATCTCATCCATGAAGGGTGACCTACGTATGTTGGTCATGTCTATTCGAGCGCCTGAATTTAACTAGGAGCCATACTTATTCCTCAATTTGCTTTTGCTGGGGTAGCGAAGTTCTCGGTTACCCCCAATTGTGATCTACTGGTCTAAGATGCTCTTCAATGTATTCGACTCATTTATGTCGTGGCTACGGTGCATGTGGTATGTTCCTAGTAGGCGACCAAATTATTCGCAGGATGCCGGTTAAACTTAAGCTGGATTTAATGACTGATTCTCTCTTATCTGTCGTGCTGCCTACTCTGATGTGAGGTGGATGATGTTTCTTGCGAGCCTAGCCACGAATAAACACTTTGCCTAAAAGTTACTCATTTTGATTATCGGAGTGTGGCCCCAACCATGAATGTATGCTTGTCCACATGCCTAACCAAGAGTGCACGCTCCTTCGCGCGCTAAGATGAGAGTATACGTTATCTCAGGGGCCCAATTGGGAGTGTACACTGCCATAACGCTCGGTTTGTGACTGGTCGGGTGGTTACTTACCGGGACGTTGTTGGAGAGGTTTGTCGTCTGCCTTGTCCTACTTTGGGACACTTCGTTTGGAACATGCTGTATCTTGGTGCGCTGTAAGAGCTGATTCACTAAGGTTGTCTGTTGCGCAAGGGCGCTTGTCAACTCTATGACTTGTCAGGATAAGTGTTGTTCCCCATTTGGGTTGGAAGAGCTTAGATGATATACATCTCATTGAGTAGTGGAAGTGTAATGGACTCTGGGCGCGAGATTTGAGTTGGGATATGTCAAATCTGCAGAGAAATGGGGCGAAAAAACACCCAGTTCCATCGTAAGTCCTAGAAATCTGAAGTTGGGACGGTTAAATTGATCCTGGATCGGTTTGGGCTAGTAAGAGAGTCACAGTTGTGGATTGGACCATGAAAGCGAGTCAAGTTACCGGAGCAGGTTGGGCTGCTAGAGCTCGCGTGCGTTGGGCATGGGCTTGACACTGTAAAGTGGCACGAGCCTGGGCTTGGCGTTGCTCTCTGGCATGGGCCTGGGCATGCCAGGCTGCAGTTGCTAGCGCCTGGGACTATGCTTATTCCTGGGCATGGGTTGCTGCAGTGGCAACAAGCTGGGCTACTTACACCTCTTGGGTTGTGCTGCACTCCCTTATAGGTACGGGCCTGGCTCGCAGCTGTAAAGTGACACATTCACCGTGGACTTGGGTTTCGCCATAAGTTGCCGAGTGGTTGCTGTCGTTAGCATAGCCACGGTGGTGCCCCGTGTGGGTGGTACCGCTCCTCTTGTTGTCACTTTGAGCCTCGTGGATCGTCGTGTTGGGGCTACGTCATGATCTCCATCACTTGGTCCAAATCCTTGAACGTAGGAAGTTCGTTCATTGTGATTTCTGAATTTCTCGTCATCGTACTTCTCTTTTACGTTTATTCAAAGCACTTTATAAAAAATTCTAGGAATAAGAACGTACGAAAAATCTATGAATGAACGAGAAATGAGAAATTTTGAATGCGAGAATCTTCTTTGAGCGTGTGAATCAAACTCTCAATGAAAACACCAATTTGTGGATGTAAGTTTCCGTCGTCTTCTCATTTGACGAAAATGCACCTGCAAAATAATAACACCTAAGATTAAGGCCAAAAGTCTCACGCACCCACGATGAACTCAGGCTTTGGCTGAAGCATCTTCGATGCTAAAGTTAAAATTTTGAAAAGAATGTGTTTAAGAGTTTGTGGGTAGCAAATGGCCTACCTTTTTAGTAGGGTAATAAGGATATTTATAGGGAAGTGGCCGACCTTATTTGGAGAGTAGTGGTCGGCCATATGTGGTGTGAATGGGTGAATAATTGCAAGATATTATGTGAAATAATATCTTGCAATTAATATGGCAATTAATCTTAAATTAGATAGGAAATTTGGGAGTTATCTTTTGAATAAGGATTTGATGAGGAGTGATGAGAAAGATTTGAATAAATACCATTTTGATAACCTTTAACTCTTCCTTGATTGAGTCGTTATTGTCCGTTGCATGCGCATGAGAATCTTGGTGTGCCTCGAGGGTAATTTTGTCATTTTCACCCAAAAGTCCACATATCACCTTTGTCACATCTTAATCTCGACTCCGTCGTAGCAAGATATTGTTCGCTTTGGGCCACGCTCTTACGGTTTTGTTTTTAGGAACTCACACGAGAATTTCCTAATGGTCACCCATCCTGGGATTGTTCTCGCCCGAACTCACTTAACTTCAGAGTTTTTATAGGATTCATAGCCAATGAGTCCCCAAAAGGCCTCATGCTATAGGGAGGGGAGCATGTACATATAAGGCACATCACACCTCTCTGTTGGTCAATGTGGGATGTTACAATCTACCCCCTTATGGGTCCGACGTCCTCGACGGCACACTTGCACCACATGGCGGAGTGGCTCTGATACCATTATATCACATCCCAGTCTCGACTCTGCCATAACACGATATTGTCCGCTTTGGGCCCTGACCACGCCCTCACGGTTTTGTTTATGGGAACTCACACGAGAACTTTCCAGTGGGTCACCCATCCTGGGATTGCTCTTGCCCGAACTCACTTAACTTTATAGTTCTTATGAGATTCGTAGCCAATGAGTCCCGAAAAGGCCTCGTGCTATAAGGAGCGGAGCATGTACATATAAGGCACATCACCCCCTCTCCATTGGTCAATATGGAATCTTACAACCTCCATAATTTCTTGATTATTTTTTGCTCCACATCAAGTATCGACGTAAAACAGTTTCTAGCTTACAAAATATAAGTATTTTATCGTATTTGGTTCATTTTATTTGATAGATTGTGGTACTAATATTGTGATAATACTAATATTAATTTTTTATGATTTGTTGTAGAAGAAGTAACATCTACATCGTCAATATTTCCAACATCCTTAATGGAGTTAGTTGTATTAGCCCATATAAAAACCCCAATCAACACATTCTCATAATAAACCCCAATCACAATCCCTCTTCTCCGACACCGCATCCATTGCCCCTTGAATCGTCTTAAAATCTGATGTCATGATCTCGTTTCTCTCTTTCATCCATTTGGTGGATTTCTTAGTTCACCACACACCGAAACACCTTCGATATCGTTGCCAATGCGAACTTCACTAGATCGACAAAATCGCCCAAAACCACGAGCACTTGGGACCGCAAAGCCTCCAATTCTATTGTGATTATAGCAATAAATAGTTTAGAGACGAGGAACCATTGTAAATTTAATCACTCGTGCTGTTTAATCATTTGTTAACTCTCTTATCTCCTAAGAAAGAATAGAATCCCCTTTCTCATTCTTTTAAGGTTGTGAAGGTACTACTCACTTTATGTTTTTTCTTTTTTTTTTTGAACATATTCTTTTGCGTAAAGAAAGATTTTTCACATGTCGGGAATACAATCCAGTACATCAAGTGTAATAATACAATTAATTAAAAACTTAAAAAAATTTCTAAGTAATTATGTTATAATACTTGATGTACTAACTGGATTTTCGATACAGTAGAAAATTTTTCTTCGCTAACAAAAAACAAAAAAATCCCCCTGCAGAATGTACGCCAGGTGGATTTATACCATTGTGCTCCTTCACAAATCGGGGCAGGTTAAAAATGAAAAATCACATTCTCTCTCTCTCTCTCTATAACTTTTAACCATTTATTTTGATAATATCCCTCTTTCTAAAAATTCTCAAAAAAACTCACCACCTCCGCCACCACAACCCCCGTCGTCATCGTCGTAGTCGACGATAAATCCGAAAACGACGCCGTCTCAAAAAATCGTAACCTCATCTCCGGCGCATCTTAGCCGCCGCCGCCGCCATCGCTGCTTACTTCCACCCCAAAATCCGACCCATAACTGGACTCGTAGAACCAAAACGGAAAAACCAGTATCCTTTTCCCGGCGGGTCATTCTCCGGCGAGTCCACGTTGGAGAAGGTGCGCACCATCATTAACCTGCGCACACGGCACACCTCTATATTTCTCTCCCCATATTGACCTTGTTTCCTGGGGAGCTATTACTGCGTGAGTCTGGCTCTCTCTGTATGCTCTCAATCATCGGCTTCTTTGTTTGGATTCGCTCATTTCGATGTGAGTTGTCTTGAAATTAGGGTTTCTAGGCATGGATTTAGGTTTGCCGTTCGTATTTAGGGTTTCTTGTGGAACTTTGAAGGGGCTTTTGGCGGTTGATTCTGTTCCAGTCTGCGAATTCGGTCATTGATCTATTGCTTGCTTTGTTTGGCTTGATTATATGATTGGTCTTGTGGCATTGACAAATTTTTTCGTTACCGAGTTGGATTTTGTAGAATTTTCAATCAGTTTTCGCATGGTAGGCAGGGGTTTAGGTGCTTAGTTGTGTCTACTATATGAGTATCGGTATACACTCAGTTTGTTTTTCTTCTAGTTTTCTATGTCTATGAAATGAGTCGGAAGTATTTACCGATTCCTGGTGTTTTTAAAGTCAATACAGTGTAATTCAACTGAAAAACTAAACCTGTATGCTGAAAATATGTGGGGGGGGAAGAAAGAAAAAGGAATTTCGAATTGGTATACCATCGTTTTACTAAAAATGTAATTCCACATGGCATCTTCAAGATGTTATGTTCGGTCCTAGCCCATTACAGTTATCCATTTTCTCTTAAATAACTGTTTGTGATGTTCATTCTTGGGTTTTCTTTAGTTGTCTCAGGTTGGTGGAGGGTTCTAATTTTTGCTTTTCTTGTTCTGTGAATAGCCTAATTTGATTTGGCCTACGCTTAATGAAATATGTTTGTTGTGAATTGAGCAATGACGGTAACACACTGTTTCCAGTTTGACATGAATATGTCTTTGACCTGTTGCAGGTGCAGACATTATTAATATGAATGCATAGAATTCCCATGAGAAGTGATGGCTTTTTTTAGGAACTATTCTAACAACACAGTTTCACGAAGTCTCCTGGAAGAAAAGACCCTAGGACAAAGTGTTGAAAGAATTCATAGCTCCACAGGGAATGAAGATATGGATGTAAATTCTTATGAAAAGGAATGTGATATCAACATGGATGTTCAGTATCAAAGTGAAGGCGAACATGAAGATGCTAGTAGGTTGCACAATGAGGCAGCAGAAGATGAGGTTATTGGTACAAAAGTTTCCAATTTGCCCACTTCTGGGAGGAGAACAGCTGTGGCTGGAAAGTGGGGTTCAACCTTTTGGAAGGACTGTCAACCTATGCGCTCACAGGGTGGGTCTGATTCTGGTCAGGAAACTAAAAGTGGGTTGGACTACAGAAATGCTGTTGGATCTGAAGATAATTCTTCGGATGTCAGGGAAGATGGAATAGATTTTGAAGATGAGGGCAAGCCGAAAGTAAGCAAGGGACAACGAGGGTCATTCTGACATCCCTGCAGATGAAATGTTATCTGATGAATATTATGAGCAGGATGGGGAAGAACAGAATGAATCGATGCGCTATAGAGGGTTTCATCACTCCGTTGGGTCAAATTCTAGGCCACAATCAAAGCCTAATTCAGTCAGCGACCATGCACACTATAGAACTTCTAGAAATGATATTGAAGATTTTGAAGATGGTGATGATGCCAACGAAGATCTTGATGCTGCTGATGCTGATTATGAAGAAGAAGAAGATGGTAATTTGCTCTGCAATCTTTTTGTTTATTAGAATATTGCTGCTGTTGGGCAGGAATTTGGATCCTTCATTTCTTATATACCTTTCATCATTTTAATATTTTGATGATGTAGTAATTTTTTACTTCTCTTCATCGTTCTGCTTGCTCGCAGAAGATGATCCTGATGATGCCGATTTTGAACCTGATTCTGGTGTTGGGAGTGGTCGCACTGCACAGAAGGTTATAAGCCTAGTTTTATTAATTTACATTGGAAGTATTAGTTTACTGGTTTGAAGTTTTCAGAAGTTAGTATACAAAACATTGTTCTGACGGCTCTACGCTCTGCGAGATCCTCATTTCTTGTAACTGCTATTTTCACTTTATTTTCCCAATTCCAATTTTGAAGTTTTTACTTTTAAGTGCTTAACTGATAAAAGACAGAGCTTTACTTGCGCCCATATGGTTAACCTTGAAGATCTTTTTGCAAATTTTAGTGCATAATTTTCAAGAGAACAGTTTCAAAGAAAAAGAGTTATTATTTGTTGACTTACTTTGAGTAATGTTCTATTTGTTTAATTTTTCATGTATACTTGTCGCTTTCTCCATCTCTCTGTCTTTTCTGTTGGATGAATTATTTAGTGATTTTTTCTTTGTACTGTACACTAATGAAGTTGTTCTTTGATGACACCAGGATAATAATTGGAATGGTGAAGATTCTGATGATGATAATGATAGTGATGATGAGCTTGATGTTTCAGATGAAGATGATTCTTATTATGGAAAGAAACCTAAGAGTAGGTATCGTGGTAATGCTAAATCTACAAGGGAACACAAATCATATCATTCGTCTAGTCGGCAAAGAAGAGGGAAGTCATCGTTTGATGATGATGAGTCCTCAGCAGAGGACTCTGAAAGTGACAGTGACGAGGATTTTAAAAGTATTAAAAGGAAAGGTGTACATACCCGCAAGGGTAATGGCCGAAGAAATGTTACTGGACAAAATGGTGAGGTACGAACTTCTACTAGGTCTGTTAGGAAGGTCTCCTATGTTGAAAGTGATGGAAGTGATGAAGTTGAAGAAGGAAAGAAAAAGAAGTCCCAGAAGGTATCTGTTTACTTTTGTGATATTAGTATTACATCCATGTATTTTGGTATACTTTATTTAAGATCACATTTTTCATTTGCATGTGTGATTCTCAAGTTGGAAATTATGCGACTTGTGGAAACTAAGCCTAGATTTTCTAATGAGTGGCATAAGACTTGTTTTTGTGTTAAGGATTTGTCATGTAATGATATATTTTGTTTTGCTACTCATCTCTTGTCAAAAGCTGTAGTTGGAAAAATTAATGTAACACATAAATTAGAATGCAAATGAATGTGGAATTTCTTTCTGGTTTGATTAAGTTTTCTAAAGTGCAGTGGAGATGTAGTTTAAAACTGTTTAAACTCATAGGCTAATATGTATTGGCAGATTGTTTCTAGAACATTTGAAGGAACGTACTGGATGGATGTGTAATTGTGCTCATTGTAAGATAGGTTAGACAAAGTTTTCATTTGCAAAAGAATAAAAAAGGAAAGGAAGGGAAAGAACTGAAAGATTTCTATGAAGAATCTTCATGTTCAAGTGTCCCATTATGTTAAATGTTAGAATGTCTAGTCTTAGTGGAATTTGGTTCCTTAGCCTGTTTTGCTAAACAGAGTTCCCCTTGGAACGAGTTTGAGATTGGGTGGTGATTTGTGTATCATTGAAGTTTAAGAAATTTGTTAGGCAGATAATTATTAATGCTGCATTGATGGATATCAAATCAGCAATGTAAGGACAAGGTCATGTAATTGGTCCTCTCCATCTCATAAAAAATGGGGACGTATTAAAATTGTGAAGCTGGTGATATTCAGGTTAAATTCCACTAGAGCTTTTGTATTTAAGTAAAAAATTTTGGACAAGTTTGAAATATGGTTGCATGTTAGGGTTCCATTTAGTTTTCATCGGTTGGTCCAGCAGTAGTTCTTGGACTGTTTATGCTTTCAGGAAGCTTTTGTAATATTTTCTTATCTCTAAATTAGAATGATCCTCTGCTAAACCAGTCCAGTAATCATCTTTGGAGGACTTTCAAAGTCCAAGTTCTTGCATGTGGTGGCACATAGGAAAACTAGTACTTGCAATGTGCAGCAAGAAAGAATACCATGGTGTATTTGTCCAAATATGCTGGCAAGAGTGTTGGCCTTCCTCCTCCACATTGCAAATTTGTACTTAGTGGTGCTTGGCCATGAAAGTTTGGTCCTTTTGCTGGTCAAGGAGTTATTAGGTTCTGGGGCCTTGAGGAAGATTTTACCCATTGGTGATCTCCAGTTTCAGCTTTTATGTGGACCGTTTAGAATAAATACAAGTACATACAATAATGGGGTTGAATAGGATATTCCCTTGATTGTGAATTTATAATTAATATTGAGTGGATAGGAGTGCTAACTTGAAGGTAATTTAATTCTTGTCATGCTATGGTAGTCTGTTATGCTGAGACGGACCTCTGTAGCTCATCTTTCTCTACTACGTTATATTTTTCAGTTCATGTCAGAAGTAAAAGAAAACAGCTCTTCCTCAGTTGAAATGATTTTTTTACTGGTTTTTGTTCTTTAGCTTGATCATCCCTCGTTATAATTATTCAAGATATCCTGATTTCCATCTGATTAATGGTGCTACCTCTACTATGTATGTGTCTGAGCAGACATGCGTATGTGAGTCATTTCTATATTTACAAAATGAAATGATCCAGACCATCAAGAACATGTAATGGGGCAGGGAACTCTTGCACTTGGTGTTCCATGAGTGTACAGTTGTTAGTGTCAAACTGCTTTAGTTTGGGCATCCCTCATTGATTGTATGTTAAAATTTTTTATCTGTTATTTCTTATGCTTAATTTACTCATTTAATTTAGTAATCTCTTCTTTTAGGAGGAGATTGAAGAAGAGGATGGTGACTATATTGAAAAGGTGCTTTGGCATCAGCCTAAGGGCATGGCTGAAGATGCTCTGAGGAACAATAGATCAACGGATCCTATGCTATTAAGTCACTTGTTTGATTCTGAGCCAGATTGGAATCATATGGAGTTCTTGATAAAATGGAAAGGGCAGTCCCATTTGCACTGTCAGTGGAAATCAATTTCCGAGCTACAAAATGTAATGCTTTATATAATTTCTTCTTGGTTATGCATAAGCACTGGATTGAGTTAATTTAGTAGAAACATTCTGTCAAATGTAATTGGTGTTCTAACATTATCTTGTGGCTTTTTCCTACAATCTGTTGTTAAAGATGCTCTATGTTTTTGGTTTCTGTACTTTGCAGCTTAGTGGTTTTAAGAAGGTTTTAAATTACACTAAAAAGGTGATGGAAGATGCCAGGTACAGGAACACAATTTCACGTGAGGAGGTACTTTTTATTTTTCCCTTTTTCAACATGGATTTTATTTCCGAACTGATCATATCTCAATAAAAAGATTCATCTGCATTGTATGATATGTTATTTCAATAAAATAATGTATGACTTCTATTTCTTTAAGCTATAATAATGCGGTTTCGTTTTCTCATTAACAAATTGTAATCCTAGGACAGTCATGCCGACGCAGGGTTTGCATAATCTGCCCACAATAAAAGCCACACAAAATAGAGAACATGAAACTTGTCTAGTAGTGGTTGGTTTGTGTAATTCTTGTAGGGAATCCCAGTTTTAAATATAGAGCATTTTTCATGTCAAGATTTGATAGGTAGACTTTTTATGTCACTGTAGGAGAGTTATTTATTTTACCATCAAATTTTATGTAGTTTCTAATAGAACGCAGTAGTTGACAAATGGTGATTGTTTAATGAAGGCAATGAATGGGAATATTCTTGAGAAAGAAATAGCGTGAGTAATACCAGTAGATGGAAACAAAACATGATAGTGAACATGTCACTATTTCGTCCTTTTCCTTTCTGTTTTGTATTTTTTATTTTTAAGGTGGGATCATAGATCGCATAAGATTTTATGGTTTTTGTTATTATTTTTTAGTTGTTTTATTTACATGTGAAGTAGCTCATTTATCTAAATTTTTTTGGGATGATGTATATGCTTGCTAGATTGAGGTTCATGATGTGAGCAAGGAAATGGACTTAGATCTCATCAAGCAGAATAGTCAGGTTTGCTTTCATGCATTTCACAATTTTTGGTTTACTTTTCTGAACGTACATTTTTCTCTTTTGCTTACAATTGTTTGTAATTGATTCTCAGGTGGAGAGAATAATTGCAGACCGCATCAGGCAAGATAGCTCTGGCGATGTGGGTCCGGAATTTCTAGTCAAGTGGCAAGGATTGTCTTATGCTGAAGCAACATGGTAAGAGTAATGCAGATTATTTGCTTTTTTGTTTCTCATGCCTATCTCTTTCATATATGCTTAGGATGTTATAAGTTGCACTATTCATGCTAAATTAATTGTACAAGTTTCCAGTGCTTTATCTTAAATACTGTTTGACTCTTTGGTGCTTTTGTTTGTTCTTCTGTTTTAATTGCAATAATGAATGCTTATATTTGTCAATGGTATCTGATGATAGGGAGAAGGATGTAGATATTGCGTTTGCACAAGATGCTATCGATGAGTTCAAGGTAGTGTGCTATCTTAAATCTTCATGTTTTTTAGTTTTCATGCATTTGAAGGTCACCTGAACATTGGTAGTTATTTCTTTTAGTACTTATCTGTTGTTAGTCCTAGTGTGATGGATAAGATGTGCAGTTACCGCTA